GATGATAACCAAATATAAATCCTGAAGACAGCCGCCCAGTCTATCATAATTTTACTTAAACCTTAATTTTGTATATTATGTAGGTATATTCAAATTTTATTTGCATCCTTTGTAAATAAATACTATCGAATATATATAAAATTTATTATGGCACGAGCCATAACGAGTGACTAGCATTATATTTAATTGATCTTCTGTCATGCTTAAGCTATGCATGATTCAACTATAATGCACTCCAAAACGTCTGCGCAATTCGCATCATGGATACTAGTTCAATTGGGTAATCTATAATTAGTCCGGATTTAATCATAGACTAACCAACTGTAATAATATATCCAAGATTTGAGGGAAATATATTTTAGCTATAAGTTGATATTGATTAACCCTAACAAAATATCTACCTACATCTCCAGTAAGGTTACGCTACAGTCATAAAAAATACAATTTACTAAAGAAACGTAGGTACCAGTTGTTAAATAGTTTTTTTGTTAACGTTTTATTTACAGCTTCAATTCCATCTTCTTAACTACGGTAAGCAAACGTTTTTATTGCGACTACTGATTTTTCATGCTGAGATGAAATACCAGTAAATATTTTTTAATTTCAAATAAATTACTTTTTTTGCCATAACTATGTGCACTCAATTTGATTAAATTATTATATATCTAGAAAGTTACAAGTAAAAAAGCATACCAGCTATAATTTGGTTTTTGTATATCTATAAAACAAAATTTATAAGTCACATAGGTGGTTTCATAAGCATACATTGATCTTCTTTTACATAACATTTTTTTTCCTTCACATAATGTATAAAACACACATAGCTTTATAACTAATTTGTTGTCGGTTTAAAGTTATCATTGTTATTTTTTCTTTAATAATGAACGTCAGTAACATTATTGGGTAAAAATATAATCCACTAATCCAAAGTTAAAGGAACCGTTGCCATAGAAAATAATATAATGACGGGAATTCCAAAAGAAAGGTGAAAACATTCAGCGGTTCTTTATAGCATCACTCCTGCACTTTTACTGTTGGTTGGTATGCTTATATACCAGTCCAATAATAAATTTTTTTTTACCTTCAATTAGTTAAAACGATAGCTCACAATTTTATTAAATATACAGGGTGTGAGAAGTTTGACAGCCTTAATTTTAACAGACGATAGAATACATTAAAATAACAAAAAAAAAACTTTATGATACGGGTCCTAAACTCAACTATTTCTGAGAAAAAAAATATCAATATCTCCAAATATGATATACAAAAGTTCGATTGATTAAGGAATATTGACATAACTGCACAGAATACCATATAATACAATATTTATCACTTTTTTGAACTTCTTTAAGCTTAATTCTAATAAATAATTAACGTTGTAATAAATTTAAAATTCGATAAAATTCATATCGAGCAATGTGACAACAGCGCGGCGGATAACTCGAGGTACTAAGCTGTCCAGCAATACCCAATTCAGTTGGTATCTGGAATTGGACCGTGTCTGAGAATTTTTTGGGTGCCACTATTTCCTTTTCTTGAGGTGTTTTTCAACGAGTACGCGAAATTGGATTCGAACGTGTCGTGCGTGATCGAAAATGGTGGTGGACATTTTGAGCATATGTTGTAGTTTGTTTTGTACTTGTGCGTTTAAAAATTACTGAATTTTGCTTTTTGGTAAGTACCTAAATTATTTTTACTACGTATGATTATTTGTACGACGTGAATCTTTGGGTACTTTAATTACATATTTTTGAAACTCATAATTTGATTAAAAGTTAAGTTCCTGTTTTAAGAGATTCATAATTACTAAAATTCGAGTTAAAATTTAAGCACAACACTATCTTCTACTTCACTACTACAAAATCGATACATTTTATTTTATTTATTTAAAAACTGGAAAACAATTATCTTGAAATTTAATAAATGTTTCACAATAATAGTTGTTTACATTTTTTCCATAGGACAAGTCTGCCGCGTGCACACGTGGTATGCGTCAGATGTTTAGCGTTAGGTTAAGTGTTGTTGTCACGTTGTGATGAAACTCCCCAATATAAATACTCGCTGTATTTTGAAAACCGTTAATCTTACGCCCCTGTAATATACAACTTTTTTGTTCATTTATGATTACTCTATCTCATGCTGAAGCAATGGCAGTCAAACTTCCTACACCCTGTACATAGACTGAAAAATATTTGGTATGGCAAAATATTATTTACTAATGTTTCGTATGTGCTACAGATATGAATGTAAACATAAATATTCCATTATTTTTAGCATCTCTGTTCATCTATGATTCATGTTAGTAGGTACCACTTTGGTATGACGCGCGTACAGGTTTAAAGAAAAAGGTGTTTCGTAATAGTACTACTTATTAATAATAGCCAGCTAGTTCATTTTGTGACCGAACCAATTCCGCTGTGGGAAAAAACGGAATGGCAGGAGGACTTTGTCATAGATGAACTACGATGCTTAAATAAATGAGATTGATCTTTCTTAGAGGTAAATCGGTCGAATCTTACAATTAATGTGACATTTGTAACAGACCACTGCTCTGAAGGAAATCCGCGAGTAAGAAAGTTTTTCTAAGATACTATGTATTATGACAACAATATTTCTTATTATATTATAACAAGCTTAATAAACATTTTTATACTACTAATACGATTTTACTATCTGCATCAGCGTTTTGCTAGAACAATAAACCTTCTTACACCGGTTATGGACATTTTTAATAATTAACTAGTTGAGGCTTAATTATTAACGGCTAAAAATAATTTTCATATGGCTGCAAAGATCGAAGCTTTACTAAATAAAAATTTTATAACATTAGCTAGATGTTTTGGTAGCCGATTGCGAAGACAGGAGAGCTACATAGCCAACTAGAACGGGTGCGCTGTCTGCCTTTCATATGAATAATGTATTATATTATATTAGTAATATAATAATAATAATCAATAAGACCTTATCTGTATGTTGCTTACATTATGTCAAGTAAAATTTTTTTTTTATAAAATGATTGGAAAATTGGTACAAGTATATGAAGGAGTACCTACGTGATTATTTGTGTTTATTATTATTCATTCCATTTTAATTTATAATTTTTGTTTTATATTCAAAAATCTATTTTGGTTTTTAATTTTGTACTTGTAACATTTTAAGTATAAAAACAAAGTAAATAACCGAATTAAATGCACACATTAATGACAAAATTTACATATTACTGTCTGAAACGTCACTTATTTGAAGTAAAGTAATATGGTTGCTGGTATTGTCATGAAATTAGTGATTTTAGCAGAAATAAATAACTCTTTTTAAAATAGGTTCCTTTAGCAAACTTTGTGGAACCTGTATAATTCAGACATTTCGCCAGGCCAGGCCAACAAATTCGTAGACATGGCGGAAAAAATATTGACTCAGTCAAAAAATTCTTCATGTATCAAATTTATTTTCATTGTAATATAATCACGGAGTAATATTTTAAACAGAATTTCTCAGCGTAAATTGCTGGTGACACGTATTTTTTTTTAATTATCGTAATTTTGTAATAGTCCTTTGTAAAAGACCATCACGCGAAAATGTTAGATTATATTTACTTTTCCCATATCATCAAAGTTGACAACGTTACAGTCCTGGATATTATAATAAATCTGACTTTTTCTAAATAATTGTTCATTATTTTAAAAATCGGCGATTTTTATTATAAAAATTGCATAGGAAACAACTTACTGAAGCTGCGAAATACAGTTTGTGTATGTGTTTCACATTTATATACAGGTTTATAACCAAATATAAATAACCATTCGATTTCAGTTATAGGAATTCGTTTCTAAAATTAAAAAGGTGGCAGACTTTCTTAAATAATTATAATAGTGATTTTTTTATCTATAATTTAATACCATATTCTAATTCCCAAAAACTTTTTTCTAATAAATTTGACTGAAACATTTTTAAAAGTGCTACGAAAATATTGGTTTTTTTTACTTTTCCACCACAGTTAACTTAAAAATTATTTAAGCTGGATAAAATTTCCCTTTTATTTTTTGTTTTTTTTTATGAAGCTATTCAATTCTAGAGAACATAGTTGTTTTTTGTTTTAACTCAGCGTATGAATTTGTCTGCCCCTAAGATTTTTATATTTATTGAAAATATTCTCAACAAAAAATACTTGGCAAAAGAACATAACGTAACATTAAATAATTAAATAATTATCTCCATTTCAATTAACCAACTTTCATTTTCTATACATTTTCAACCCCTCTATTGCTATACTTTTTCCCTATTTCTTGTGCGATAATTTCGTTACATTTCGATAATTTTTAAATTAACAGTTAGCTCAAATAAAAAATCTATATGTTTGGTATAGATGGGTTTCTAGGCTAAGGTAAATTAAAATATATTGCTAATTTTTAGATAAAAAAAAATGGTCAATATAATTTTTAAGACCACCTATTTTTAATTTTAGAAATGGACGCCTTTAACTACACTCAAATAAATATCACAATAGTCGCTTTGTAGGTAATTATTTCATACAAAATGTCAAAATGTAATTTCAAATAACCGAGCTATAGGTACAGTGTATCTCCGGATGGGGTACCGCACTCTTGCAAACTTTTTTATTATTGACAAAAAGTTATTCTTGATAAAAAGTTTTGCTTATCTTGGGAAGCCATGGGCAGTAATCAAATATGTCATAAAACATACAGGGAATCCAAGAAATGCTTAAATACTGGGTTTAGTCAGAAAGAACAATAATTACATTTTGCAAATAAAAAGACGCCGCAGTTTTTAACTATCTTACTTAATGGCATAATATATCAAGACAATCTTAATCAAAATTCGTATTTGGAAATTCTCAATAATTTTGTTTTAGCAGAACTAGATAGCGAAAATTTAGAGTGTAGAAGAAAAATAATATTTCAACAAGACGGATGCCCTGTACATTCCACACTTCCAGTGAGAAACTGGCTTGACGTGGACTTGCCGAACAAGTGGATCGGACGCTATGGACCAATACCTTGGTCTGTACTGGCACCCGACTTGTCCCCATTAGATTGGATATGGGGATACCTAAAGCAACAAGTGTATTCAAACGATTTTGACGATAACATTGATTTACTTAAGCAAAAAATTCAGGAAGCTGTTGCCACCATAAACGAATAATTGATCTCCTCTGTGTATAGGAATTTAGAAAAAGATTACAAAAATGTGTATTACTTGGAGGTTTACAAGTTGAATAGGACTTGATTCGTTGTTGTTGTTAATTCCAGTTCTACTTTGCTATTTCTATTTTTTAATTAGAAAAGTTACTTTTATTAGTTAGTTGTTAATGGTAGAACAATTTCCGGGCCAGTTACCACGTCGTCGGTTTAGGTTTCTTGACGCTTCAAGAGATATATCGCTCTTTACAAGAACTCGAAAACTTTAGGAGTTATTCTGAGGAAGAGAGCGATATGTCTCTTAAAACGTCAAGAAACCTAAATTGGCGACGTGGCAATCAACCCGGAAATTGTTCTACCAAGCTATTTTTATATTATACATATTAAATTTAAAATAAAGTTTTACTTATTTTTTACAATTTCTGTTGGCTTTAAGTGAGATAGTTAAAATCGCGTCTTCTTTTTAACTTTTTATCAAAATCGACAATAAAAAAAGTTTAGAGTGCGGTACCCTATCCAGGGACACACTGTATAGCTAAAATGTGTCCTTTGAATAAAAAATAATAATAAATCGATATTAAAAGGTTTATTTTCAAAATAGCGTCCTCGTTTTTTTTTATCAAAATGATTTTGTGACAATTGCATACGTAACGTTTTACAAAGTTTCTTAGTATTTAAATAATACATTGCAGTTCGCTTCTGAACCTATTATGATATGAATGATTGTCAGAAAATATTTAAAATTGTAACACGTAATCTTAATTTAAAAAAAGTTACCAATCTAATTCGCACTTACCCTTGTTGTTGTTGTTGTTGTTGTTGTTGTTGTTGCTGTTGTTGCTGCTGCTGCTGTTGCTGCTGCTGCTGTTGTTGCTGCTGATAATTGGTGGCAGAGAGGAATGACTTGGGTAGGGACATCGACCGTTGTTGCGAGACAAGCATCTCCGCTGATCTCTCCTCCGAAGGCGCACTTCCAGGTCTAGTCATAACGATTTCGCGCGATTTCTCGTCTTTCACACCACTTAACACGTCCTCGAGGGGTGTCGACGCACCGGAACCTTTAACATTACTTTTCCGATCCACGACTGTCAGCCAGGCGTCACTTCCCGAAGACGAACCACTTACATTAGGGAAAGTGGGCGTACGGCTTTTCGGATTAACGGGGGAAACCTTTTTTTCGAAAACAACACTATCAATTTGGTCACGTTTCACAGATTGTTTATTGGGGCTCAGGCGCCGCTCGCGAATCTCCTTTCCGGCATCGTTCTGCAACTTCCGCTTTTCCATCTCTTGAGCTAGACGACGTTTGTGCTTGTCTTGCATTTTTCTCTCCCTTAAATTGGCAGCAGCTCTATTCGCTTCCATATTAGTCGAGTCCAAGGACCTCTGATGTGTCGGATAACTTTGAGAAGAGCGCATTACGAACTGAGCTTCCCGATTCAGACTATCCCTGTGAGCGCAATGTGGCCAAAAATCGCAAGTGTCGGGTTTACAGGGATTTTTTTGTTCGTGTCTCATCTCAAAACTGTGTTTGCTCATCAAACTCGGACTGGTAGATCCCCTAACAAGTACCTTTTGTTTATCTTTCTTGTTATTACCTACATAATAAACGGTAAGTCCGTTGTTAATCGGTTTATTAACATCTTTACTTTTTTCTTCTTTACTGACGCTACTATTGTTATATCTATGCATGAGAAGAGCCTGGGCGGCCGCTCTAGATCTGTTCCCATATAAAAATCCAGTGACGACTTCGGCCTCCCGTAACAAATCCTCATTCAAGATATGGCCGTCTGCAGACTGAGTTTTCGCGGGCTGTGAAATGTACTTCTTTTGACGCTCCGAAGTGGGTCCTATTTTAATTATCCTGTGTGGCTCTTGATGTTGTGGAGAAATTCTGGTTTGAGCAGATGACTCCCGACTAAACGTCGGCGGTTTCTTTTCGGGTAATTGCAAACTTCGAGAACGCCTGACCCTTTGAAGGGACGGATCCTCCTGTGATGGGGATTTTGCTGTCTGATAAGGTCGATTAGGTGCACTACGCCGTATCTGTTGTTGAGAGGGAGCGGGCGGAGAGCGTGAAAGAAATTCATTACTGCTAGTCGATGACGAACCGGGGGATGAGCAGTTCGGAGGTTTATTCGTATCTGATCCTGCAGGTGAACGGCGGGTTTGTATGCGATGCTGCGGCAATCTATTCGAACGACCAGAGGGCGAAACCTTCTCCCTAACTCGATTGAAATCGCTCTGTGCCATGCTGGTATGTAAAGTAGAAATTACGCTGACATTGAGAGACGAGCTGTTATTGTCTTCTTCGTCGGCATCCTCGTAAACGTCTATAGAGGAATCGGTATTTTCTGAAAGACGAGGCATGACATGGCCGGATCTATTAAAGTGACTATCCAGACTTCTGAAACCCATGGAAGATGAAGATGAGGACGAGGAGCCTCCGTAGTGTTGTATGAATTGAGAACGCCTTACAGCCGTGGTATCTTCCAGTGATTTAGTTTGTGGTATTCTATTGAAAGATCTTAGAGGTTTTTCTATGGCCGGAGAAGGAGCAGCTGTTTTCGTTTTTCGTGATTGTGTAACAGATTGGATTGCGTTTTTCCACTTTAGTGTTGGTGGGGATGCCGGAGGGCTAGCGTCGCTATCTTCGATTGCGTTAGAACGCGGTAAGAAGGGCGTCTTACCAAAAAACGTTCGACTTTTGGTGGCACCCTTATTCTTATCTTGAAATGCTGGCGGTGGTGAAATTATAGGTGTGACAGAAGGTGGTGATTCGGGTGGAGGCTGGGGAGAGGACACCTTTCTTTCAAAATCTCGAGGTTGTAGTGATAGATATGCCGGCCTCTGCATGTCCGAGTATTTGCCCGGTTCGCTGTTGAAGTGATAATCGGACAATTTAATATTTGTCCTTCTTACCGGCTGTAAAGATGATGTGGTTGCTTTACCCGTATAGCTATGCCGTTTATTTTCATCTAAGGATCTTTGTTGTACTTGTACCCATCCTGATCTGCCTAAATACACCCCGTCGACTTCCCTGTCACACCATCGAACCGGGGAGAGTTCTCTGTTGCAATTAGTGTTGCCTATGAACATTTCGGGTGAGTTTACCTCACCATCCGCATGAAAGCTGGGCGAATTGGTCCATTTGCTATTGCTATACAACTGACTGGGGTTGCCTAACGACTGGTGTTTGGTGAGGGGTGGAACACTCGGTCCGACCCTACGATTGACAAAGTACGATCTGCTGGAGGCGCCACCCGTAGGATAAACCGACGTAGGACTGGTTTCCCATGGTTCAGACGAACTACGCAGGTGCAGCACCGACACGTTAGGACCTCTGAAAAAAAATTAATTTAAACTTTGAAAAGACAGTTAAAAAAACGAAATACATTTAGAAGGCATTACAAAGTATTCGCGCTTTTAAAACATTGTGATATTTCCTTGTCGATTTCAGAAAATATGTTTTACTATTTTGTCTGAAGCTTATTAACAATAAAAGCCTTTGTTAAATAAGGAGGCGGATTTATTAAATGCTGCCAAATGAGCGAAGTTTGAAGCGGAACCGACCTCAAATTGTTTTACTTTACAATGGTGGAATGGTTTAAAAGGGGTCGTTAAACGTAAATGGCTTTGGTAAGCGTTTAATTACATAATGTAGTCATTTATTCCTTATTAAATTATTGTGATCGACGAATATAAGACTATTTTTGTTTCCGTCGTCTTAAATGAATAAATTACAAGGCACTAAAATAAAACTGTTACTTTTATCCAATTACTATTAAGAAGATTAAACTAAGGCTTTCACGTAACTGACGGAATGAGAATATAAGCTTTGAAACTTTACACGAAATTTAAATCTTTAATTAAATTGTGTGCAATTATAGAATAGTTTAGCTTCTAAAATCTACACCTAAATTACTATAAAATTTTTAAATATCATGGTATAATTATGAAAACTCACAAAAGAGATATATGTGGGATTGTTAATTTTAACGAATTTACAAATGTGGGTATTTCATCCCACAGATTACAAAGTTCATCGTCTCAGAATTCAAAGTGGGTTGGCTAGAAGTTATAAAATATATGCTAAACTTCTCAGTTCATATTTGTAAATTTCGGAACAGGTACGGTTAATATATAAATAAATAACCATAACTGTTAAGAAAACTATGTATCACTGGAATGTATCTAAACAGATTATATGTTGCAATATGAACTTACATTAAAACAAATTACTAATTATTTTTTTTACAAATCAGTTATGTTTCAATGACCTAGATTAATAATTTCCTATATTTTAATTGTGATAATATATCTAATAATAATTTCAGATGTTAGTATTTCACAAGAATAAAATATTTCAACGAGATACGATTTTTTAAGTTTGTTTTGTAATTTACAAAAAAAATACGATTTATTATATGTATATTAAACAATGTCGTTAGGAGTAGCAAATAATAATACTTCATCGAAAATATAATGAAGAAACGATTACAAGGTTTTCCCATTAAAAACAGCTTCAATTCTAAGGTTAGTCCATTTAAAGTAACTTGTTTAAGAGCCGATCATTATCATAGGAGTATAATTTATGTGAGTAAATATGACGAAATAGTTTCTATATTGCACTATACAAGCAATAAATGCCTTAACGAAAAGCATTTATAGCGCGTCGACAAATAAATCAAAAAATATTTTATGTCGTTACGAAGATGATAATAATTATTTAAAAACAAGTGTTCATCACATTATACAATCATATATAGATACCTATATTTTAGTTCTAAGTATAATATTAATATAGAAAAAGATATAATTAAATGTGTATATGATGGAAGCAACAGAATTAAAAAAAAACGTTTTTGTTTACTACGAATTGTAATTCATAAAAGTGTATTAACTAATCAATATCACGCACAACGTAAAACAAGACATTCCTTGTATCAAAATAAATACATTTTAATCAAAAACAAAAGTCTACTACGTCTACAGAGATATAGCCTTCCCAATTTGATGCCATGAGACATTTGTTTTATTCAATTTTAAAACGGTTTGGGTCTAAAGACTTCTTAGTTAGTATGCATCTTCATTTATTTGACTGTAGTATGTTGCCAGAATATGTAAGGATATGATGAACAGACTGTTATTTTGCGACTGTCTAAATTACATTTTTTTGTACAAAATCTCAATATCTTTTACGGATTTCGAGTAAAACGGATACTTCTTTGGTATGGAATTTGATGAAACATAAGGTGTACGATACATAAAAAGAATAAACAAGTTTCCATGAATACGAGTATAATTTCTAAAATGCTTCCTGAAGAACTGAAAATGTTAGAATGGATCAACACATAGAGATTACATAAAAAGCGAGACTTTGGTAGATAATAAATTCGTGAACACGCTTGGGAAAACGGTTGTATAATTAGGAAAAAACGTTGGAAAATTAATTTAATGAAAAGAAACTGCTATTATTTTAGCAAACAGTGAAAGAAGGTGCCGAATTATAGACCAGGGCGGATCTGTTTTGAGGTGGATGTGAGAGGGGCAAACAATTTTTTTCTGGATTACCTTCAGTACAATTCACATAATAAAAATGTAGATCCTTAGATCAGGGCGAGGTCCCATAACATTTTGAAAATTGCAAAAAAATTAAAAAAATTTATTTATCTGAGTTTTTTACTTATATCTTGGAGCCTATGCATTTTGGAAGGATATTGAAGAGGAAAAAAAGTTTTGGAATTGAATTTTGCACAATACTGTAAGTTAAACATGTTTAAATTTATTACCGATGTTGCAAATAGCAATAATTGATGAAATGAGTCAAAATAATCAAGTTTTTTTTGATAATTTTTTAAATATATTTTAATTGCTCCGAGGGCATTTTAATTTTGGTAAAAAAAACTTTAGAGTATAATAAAACAACACATTAAATTTCATTAAAATCGATTCAGTAGTTTTCGCAAAATATTTTTTTGAAAATGTTGCATAGCCTCAAATAATGATACTACCTATATACTTGAAATTTTTTTCACATAGAAAGACCGCTCAACCTTTCAAACGGTTTTTAAAAAACTTAAATCGGTTGATTAGGACAGCCACAGTTAATTTTTAAAGTTAACACTCTTTTTTTTATTTTTAAACAATTAGATTATATTTATTAATTTGCAATTTAGTTTTTTTTNCTCTTTCTTTTTATTTTTAAAGAATTAGATTATATTTATCAATTTGCAATTTAGTTTTTTCAAAAATTATAATTTTAAAGTACTATTTTTTCTTAATTTTATCTGTATTTAACAAATAAATTAATTTCTAAATATTTTTTTTAATTTGTTTAAATAAAAATTATTTAAATAATTGCAATAATTATAACTAAATATTTTCATATTTAGAGTGTTGAAATATATACCTAAACAAATTTTTTCATTGAAAAATTGTAACAGCATAGGGTAAAATATACAGTATATTTAATTCATAGATAATAAACTTTGTTTATAACTAAATATGTGGGAATTAGACAGTTGGCATTACGATATTCGAATTCGAATAACAAAAAAGATCGAAATTGGTCCAATAGAAGCCGAGATAATGCAATTTTTTTCGTACCTTCGCATTTTGAACCTCCGAATTCACTCTCGGAGCGAAAGCCCCCTCCCCCACTTTTCGTGTTTTGAGTCACTTTCCGCGCGTGCGAGCTACAGCTTTTCCGCTGATTTATCTATGTTGCCAATAACTTATGGATATGAAAATTTTTTCCAGCTTAGAACTCGGAAAACCGAAGCCACTGGATAAAAGATTATTGCTAAATTGTTTATAAATTAACGGTAAATGCCAATAAAATTTGACCTCTTATATTTCGAGAACCAATAAACGGAATTTAACTTTTTTTTTTTAAAGAAGCCTCTCTCCGAGTACTTTAAAATTATAATTTTTGAAAGAAAAACTAAATTGCAAATTGATAAATATAATCTAATACTTTAAAAATAAAAAGAAAGTGTTAACTTTAATAATTAACTGTGGTCGTCCTAATCAACGGATTTCAATTTTTCAAAAACTATTTGAAAGGTTGACCGGACTTTTCTATGTGAAAAAATGTTCAAGTATCTAAATGCTTATTTGAGCTGTGCAACATTTTGAAAATTTTAAATTTTTTTTCAACATTTCAACAATAGTTTTCAAAAACCTATGTAATTATTTTCCGAAAACTATTAAACCGATTTTAATGAAATTTGGTGTGTTGTTTTATTATACTCTAAAGTTTAAAGTTTTTTTACCAAAATTAGAATGCCCTCGGAGCAATTACAATATTTTAAAAAAATTATTCAAAAAACTTGATTATTTTGCCTTTTTTCCATCAATTATTGCTATTTTGCAACATAGGCAATAAGTTTAAACATTTTTAACTTAACAGTATATTGTGCAAAATTCAATTCTAAAATTTGTTTCCTTTTCGACATTCAAGAAGAGGTAAGTAAGAATAAAATAAATAACATATAATATCTCTAGCTATGAAAGCAGACAAACAAATAAAATATAATCTGTCACATTTATTTAAAAACAAGCGCCAGTTTTGAAAATGAAAGAAAAAATAGTGTTCAAAGTGGAAACTATTTTAAATTTTTTCAAAGTGCCAAATACCCATATTGATAAAGAAAAAAATCTATAACCTAAATTTTTTGATACGTTTTAATACAATTTAGAGTCAAGAAATGTACATGATATTTCACACTGTATGTATTACGATACTAAATGCTACAAAAAGGTAGGTAAAATCGTTAATAACAGGATCTTTGTATACAAATTATAAAACATTCCTTGCTCCAGTTTTCATTTAGACAAACCTTTTCAGACCAAACTTAAAATTTAAAAATATTAAATTTTGATAACTCACTACACACTACAAATATTTTTGTGTAACTTTAGATAAAAAATCGAAAACCGAATGGAAAACGAGGGTTGAATAGTTAGTGATTGACAGCATGTGTATGGTACAAAAGTAGCGTTTCTGGATTATTTGATTTTTTTTACTCTTGTAAAATTTGCATTTAAGACTTGATTTATAAGACAACTTCTTTAAATATGTGATAGGAACTTTTTTGTTTAGGCTTGGCATTCGTGAAAAAAATCGTATATTTCAAAATATCGGCTTTGACAAGGGGTATCGCTAAAACTCCTGTTAATTTACATAAACTATTTAAAACAAGATTGTTACAATTGAGACATTAAGTTAGCTACATCCCAATATTAGAATTCAGAAAACAGGACAGTAGATAAAATTACTGTCAAAAACATCCGCAAATACCAACTTCTGTTCTAATGAAAGAGAATCGAGCATGCTGG